CCTTGATCTACTTGGACTTGAACTTTGTACAAGGTGATAGATATGTATCAATTTGTGTTCTTCTACATGTAGACCACCAGTTAGACCAGCACCATTTGTTGAAGATGCTTTCTTTTCTCAACTGCATGGTTTTGGCTTCTTTTGTCAAAGATAAAGTGCCCCTTAGGTATGAGGGTTTATTTTTGAGTCTTTGATTCTATTCAGTTGATAGACCTGTCTTTTTCTGTACCAATACCATGCATTTTTTAAATCATTGCTCTGTAGTGCAGCTTGAGGTCAGGGATGGTCAGTCCTGCAAAAGTTCTTTTATTGCTGAGAATTTTTCTTCTGGGGTAAATGCCCGGGATCAGTATAGCAGTGTCTTTAAAAAAATCTTCAATTTATTTCTTCAGGGACTTGAAGTCCTTGTCATAGTTATCTTTCACTTGCTTGGTTAGAGTTACACTAAGATATTTTATTTTTTTTTTTGTGGTTATATTGTAGAGGGTGTTGTTTCCCTAATTTCTTTCTTAGCCCATTTATCATTTGTATAAATGAAGGCTACTGATTTGTTTGAGTTAATTTTATGTCCAGACACTTTGCTGAAGTTGTTTATCAGTTGTAGGAGTTCTCTGGTCTTAGAAATTTTGGGGGTCGCTTATGTATACTACCATATCATCTGCAAATAGTGAGACCTTGACTTTTTTATTGGATATTTTATTTATTTACATTTCAGATGTCATCCACTTTCCCCATTTCCCCTTCCTAGAACTCTTCCTTTCCAGTTTGTATCCCCTTGATCTCCTTGTTTTCTAACTGCTTTAGCTAGAACTCCAAGTACTGTAGTGAATAGATAGGAAAAGAGTTGGCAGTCTATGTCAATGTTTCTCAAACAGAGGTCTGTGGGCATGGCCAGCAGTTGTGCTTTTTCAACAGTAACTTTTACTTGAAATGCTTTTATTTTTATATTAAATTAATACTAACATTCTAAGGATTTGGACAGATGGTTCTATCTAAAAATGCTAGCTATACAAGTTCAGTTCACAAGTTCAGTTCACATGTATTTACAATTATGTTAGTACTAAACAGTTTTATTTTGTTATAGAATAATAACATATCAGAAGTATACTATTTGCACATTAGACATTTTGTACCACACAACTACCTCAGAGAGCAAAGGAGTAAAGACTGATTTGTGCTCATGGTTTCAGATGTTTCGTCCCAGGGCCACCCGACTTTGCAGCATGGTGAGGCAGTATACCATGGCATAGCATTGTAGAAGGGCAAAATAATCCATCTCTTAGAAGCCAGGAAACAGAGAGTACAAGCCTGAGAAACCAGGCTTTTTCATTCCTTCCCTTTTATTTTATCCAGACCTCCATGCATAGGACAGCTTCAGTCACATTCAGGGTAGCTACTTCCTCTGTAGTTAATAACTTCAGTCACATTCAGGGTAGCTACTTCCTCTGTAGTTAATAACTTCAGGGCCAGAGATATAGCTCAGTAGTAGACCACTTACCTAAAATGTGTTTACTGCTCAGTACTATTCAACAAGAACCTAATAATCCCAAAAAACATAAAAATTTCTATTCATGGCAAATAATTGTAAAATAATACATGGTATACTGTGAAGCAGAGTTTGAAACAAAGAATAAGCATGCCAATCTTAAAAGAACCTAACATCAAACCCATATCCTTATTGTCAATATCACATAAATTACAGAAATTCTGCATTGAGTCCTAAGTGAATATCAGGAAGAATTTTTGAAAGTATGTACATTATTTAAGTTTTAAAATGACTTATTTTGTACATTGACCTTCAATAGTCTAATTCAAATAGAAATTTTATTTCCATAATTTTTATAGACATTAACACACTTGTTTTAGTTTTCTTTCTTGTCAATTTGTTTTTCTCTCTCATCACATATGCATCAGGTGATAAGGATTCTGTGTGTATTATAAGACAAGATTTATAAACACTTATTTAGTGAAGGTAGAATAGATGAGTGTATGGAAAGCAAGAAATGTCTTAAATATTCTGTAATATTCAAAATGAATAGGGAAACAACATATAACGTTTTAAAATTACTTTTGTATCAGGTTGTGGTAGTCGAAAGAGCTACAAATGAAGACTTAATGAATAAAAAGTTAAGTTGTATGAGGTAATCAATCAATTAATTATCATGATTATCAAGTACACAGAACATGTATAATTATACCCTTTGCCCATGTCAGTAAGTCACACTGTTCTATTAGATAAAGTTTGGAAATCTTAAACGATTATTCTAATGGGACCTCGGTTAGTTTCTCTTACTTAACCATCATTAAAGAGTTAGTTCACAGGCTAGTTCTTGTGCTGTTAGAATTTTCTTCCTGTCTTCTTTCTGTTCTGTAAGGACTGTTTATATTGGCATTCCACCTCCTGCCTCAGGTTTCATCACTGAACCCGGCAGTTCTCAGATTTTACTTGTTAACTGAGGTAGAGATCACTGTCATATTGACGTTTCCTCATGTTCTGTTTGAAGCTCTTAAATTGTTTTCTCTGTCTTCCTGTGATTCAGGTATGGTGATTGTATATCTTCTTTAAAATGAGTTTCTATTTATATTGAAAGTTAAATAGAAAATTGATTATTCATTGCCTAGAAACATGACCATCAAGTTATTTCCTGTGTAATATTAGTAACTATCCCTTGGAGACAGCTACTCTAGACTTCAGTTCTTAATTAAAGATTCCCAGTATCATGTAGGTTACTCATTAATTAGAAAAATCAATTTACTTTTCAGTTTCTTATGTCATAGCAAATTTCTAGCATTTTAAATGTGATATGCCTGATGCTTTCCACAGGATAGATAACATTTGTTTCAGAGAGGTAGGATATTGAAACATTCAATATGGGAGACTGAGAATATGTACTGGAAAACCTGGATGTTCACTGTTGACTCTTACCCACCATAGCTCTCAGAATCTTCACTCTTATGTGTGTTATAAGATGGAATTGTGTGAATTTATCATTAACTTTTTAAAAAGTGTATCTGTTTGCCTGTCTAATTTTTGTTCAGCTTTTATGATAGTTTACTAGATAATCTTCCAGGTAAACTCTAGGAAATATTTGGTGCAGTAATATGTTCTTGCAAGTGATTATCTGTGAACTTATTTTCTTTGTAAGGTCGTCTAGAAGGCTTCTGAGGTGGTTCAGTAGTTAAGAGCACTGGCTGCTCTTCCAGAGGTCCAGAACTCAATTTCTACAACCACATGGTGGATCATGATAAAGGGATCTGATGCCCTCTTATGGCCTGCAGATGTATATACAGACAACATTCATACATTTAAAAAAAGTATCCAGAAGAGCAACATGAATTCAAATTAGAGTGACTAATTGCAATGTTAATACTTGAGTCATTGAATTTCATATTTCATATACAATAGTTCTGATGGCTCTAGATATTGAACAGTCTCAGAGTTAGTCAGAAAGCCCATTATGAAGATGAGAATAGAATGGTGAAACTCAAGGAAGTCTTGATACCTTGGCACATGTCTGTGATTCCAACATTCCTACATTAAGATGGGAAATAGAGAAAAGAGAAGGCAAAAGAAGGATAGCTAGACTGAAGTATGCAGCACTATGGCAAGTAAGAGAAATTCTGCTTTATACAAGGTGGAAAAAGTGGACCGATACCTGAGATTGTCCTCTGACCTCCACATTCACACACACACACACACACACACACTCACACACACACACACAAACTCACACACACACACACACACACACACAAAAACTAAGAAAAGAATAAAGTGATTCTCTGACTTTAACAGTTTTCCCCTAATACATAAATATGAAGCATTTGAACGAAGTACAAATAACTACTACTTCTCTACGAACTCTGAAATTTATGTTCATTATGTACCTACTTTATCTTTCAAATGTCTTTTATTTAAATAAACAGTGGAGCTCAGTGGAAAGATACTAAATTTTGTAACTTAACAGGAATGGTTTGTATCACCATTTTTCCACTTACACTTCTTACCTGTTGGACTTTGGCAATTATAAAGAAGTTTAGTCTCATGTATGCATCAATAATAATAAACTTGAACATCTATAGAACAGAGGTTTATAAGTTATATTGTATTTTATATGTGTACACACACACACACACACACACACACACACACACACCACTTAGAATTATCTCCATGTATTAGACAATCTTAAATTATCTTTGGAATGGTTCCATTTCCAAAGTGGATACCTAGTCACAGTTTTAGAAATATTATCAGAACATTCCTTTGTCAATTTGAGTACATATGCCTATTGTGGTTTAATAAAAAAAACTGAAAACAAAATTCAATTTCCTGCTACAGAAAAAATCATCTTTGTTTCTCCTATGTAAAACAGAAATACATACTTGTTTTATCTCTGTATTCAGAATGACAAATAGTTCATTTGATCTCTTAGAAATAGTGATTCAAATGGTGGTTACCAGAAACTAAGCCAAGGAAGAAGGAAGGGTGTGTGGGGAGACTGGGGAAAGTGGATTAATAGTTACTATAATGTCAGATATGTAAAGGAAGCTTTGAAATACTGTCACACAGTATGGCCATAAGTGACAATAATATACCATCACTTACTAATGCTGGAAGAAAAGATTTCATTAGTCTTCTTAATTTGGAAATGATAAACTTCTTTTAAATATTTTCAGTGTACACATGTCTTAAACATCATTGTTCCCGTTATAATCTACAACTCTTATATTTTTGTGTATTGGTCAAAAAATTAAAACTAAACGTGATGTAAATCCATGCCCATAATAAACATGTATTCAATAATGATTGTCATTATCTTTAATGATATAGTATTACTATTGTCCAATGTTCTATTAATAAGGAGATGTTACCTCGGTACATAGGTTTTCCTATCATTTATATAGCTATAATTTTATGTTAGTGTGATATGTGTAAGGAAAATGTACTGATCAGATGTAAAATTCAGATATTTTAATTGTAATTTTCTTTCTTTCAGAATTACTTACTGTCATCTACCTTTCCAGAGTAAATGGCTCTATGTTGGAACAGAAAGAGGAAATACACATATTGTAAATATTGAATCTTTCATTCTTTCTGGATATGTCATCATGTGGAACAAGGCAATTGAACTGTGAGTTTGTACTTACCTGTCACTTTACCTGACAAAAACAGTGCATGGAGTATGTAACTTGTGGGATTATAGTTAATAAATCCATTGCTAATGACTCATTAATTTAAATTAAATTTGAACTAAAACCACAGATAACTTTAAAATAGATACAATTGAGTTAATGTGTGTTTATTTTTATATAAATTCTCTTTTAATTACTCTCTACTTCTTAAGATATATTAGAAATATATGTTATTCCAGAATTTTGTCGTAATTTTTGATAGTTATGTTTTGCTAGTGACTTTTTCTGGGGTTTTGGAAATTAATGTTAGAGACAGAAAATATACAATCGTGTTGATAGTCATCATCTTTAAGTAGCAAAACAGCATAAAAATTTTCCCTTAACTTTTGACATAATATGAAATATCTCTTTTATACTCTTATTTCTTTTTATAAATAACAAATTGAATGTTTAATTATTCTCTGCACTAGAATATAAGTGGAAGAGTCTAGCATATGATTTAACCCATGTTTGTATAATACATTCCCTTAATATGATTCTATGATTAAAAATGAAGTACACCAATAATTGGAAACAATTGAATTTTTGGTTGCATTTCCATATAGTCATACTATGCAAATTTGTAGGGGTATAATACTTTTTTTTTTTTTTTTTTTTATTGGATGATTTATTTACATTTCCTATGTTGTCCCCTTACCCCATCCCCCACCACCCCCTCGGAACCTCCAATCCCCTCGCCCCTCCTCCTTCTTCTCTGTGGATGTAACCTCTATCTACACCCCCCCCCACTCCCACCTCCCCACCCTCAAAATTCCCACCCCCTGGGGCATCCAGCCTTCATGAGGTCAAGGTTCTCTTCTTCCACCTATGCCCAGCAGGGCCCTCCACTTTTACATATTCAGCTGAAGCCCTGGATTCCCCCCTAAGTGCTCCCAGGCTGGTGGTTTAGACCCTGGGAGCTGTGGTTGGTTGGTATTGTTGCTCTCCTCATGGTGCCACAAACCCTTTCAGCTCCTTCAGTCTTCACTCTAACTCCTCCATTGAGAACCCCATGATCAGTTCAATGGCTAGTTGTGAGCATCTGCCTCTGAATATGTCTGACTCTTGAAGGCCTCTGAGGAGATATCCATATCAGGCTCTTATCAGCATGCACTTCCTGTCTTCCACATCAGCATCTACCTTTGGTGATTGCACATGGGATAGATACTCAGGTGGGGTGGTCTTGAGACGGCCCCTCCTTCAGTTTCTGTCCCTCACTTTGTCTCCATATTTGCTCCCTTGAGTATTTTGTTGCTCCTTCTAAGAAGGACCGAATCACCCTCACTTGGTCTTCCTTCTTTATGGGCTTCATGTGGCCTGTGAGTTGCATCTTGGGCATTTCAAGGTTCTAGGCTAATATCCAATAATCAGTGAGTGGATACCATGTGTCTTCTTTTGTGATTGGCTTACCTCACTCAGGATGATAATTTCTAGTTCCATCCATTTACCTAGGAACCTCTCGAATTCATTGTTTTTAATAGCTGAGTAATACTCCATTGTGTAAATATACCACATTTTTTGAATCCATTCCTCAGTTGAAGGACATCTGGGTTCTTTCCAGCTCCTGGCTATTATAAATAAGGCTGCTATGAACATAGTTGAGCATATGTCCTTGTTATATGTTCGAGCATCTTCTGGGTATATGCCTAGGAGTGGTATAGCTGGATCCTCGGGTAATGCTATGTCCAATTTTCTGAGGAACCGCCAGACTGATTTCCAAAGTGGTTGCACCATCTTGCAGTCCCACCAACAATGGAGGAGTGTTCCTCTTTCTCCACACCCTCGCCAGCATCTACTATCACCTGAGTTTTTAATCTTAGCCATTCTGACTGGTGTGAGATGGAATCTCAGGGTTGTTTTGATTTGCATTTCCCTGACGACTAAGGATGCTGAACATTTCTTTAGATGATTCTCGGCCATTCGAGTTTCTTCCGTTGAAAATTCTTTGTTAAGCTCTATACCCCATTTTTTAATAGGGTAATTTGGTTGTCTGGAGTCTAATTTCTTGAGTTCTTTGTATATATTGGATATTAGCCCTCTATCAGATGAAGGATTGGTAAAGATCTTTTCCCAATTTGTTGGTTGTCGTTTTGTCCTATTGACAGTGTCCTTTGCCTTACAGAAACTTTGCAATTTTATGAAGTCCCATTTGTCAATTCTCGATCTTAGAGCATATGCCATTGGAGTTCTGTTCAGGAACTTTTCCCCTGTGCCCAAGTATTCGAGGCTTTTCCCCACCTTCTCTTCTATTAGTTTCAGTGTATCTGGTTTTATGTGGAGGTCCTTTATCCACATAGACTTGAGCTTTGTACAAGGAGATAAGAATGGATCAATTTTCATTCTTCTACATGTTGTCTTCCAGTTGAACCAGCACCATTTGTTGAAAATGCTGTCCTTTTTCCACTGGACAGTTTTAGCTCCTTTGTCAAAGATCAAGTGACCATAGGAGTGTGGGTTCATTTCTGGGTCTTCAATTCTATTCCATTGATCTTCCTGCCTGTCTCTGTACCAATACCAGGTAGTTTTTATCACTATTGCTCTGTAGTACAGCTTGAGGTCAGGGATGGTAATTCCTCCAGAAGTTCTTTTATTGTTGAGAATAGTTTTCGCTATCCTGGGTTTTTTGTTATTCCATATGAATTTGAGAATTTCCTTTTCTAACTCTGTGAAGAATTGAGTTGGGATTTTAATGGGGATTGCATTGAATCTGTAGATTGCTTTTGGCAAGATGGCCATTTTTATTATATTAATCCTGCCAATCCATGAGCATGGGAGATCTTTCCATCTTCTGAGATCTTCTTCAATTTCTTTCTTCAGAGACTTGAAGTTCTTGTCATACAGGTCTTTCACTTGCTTGGTTAGATTCACACCAAGGTATTTTATATTATTTGCAACTATTGTGAAGGGTGTCATTTCCCTAATTTCTTTTTCAGTCTGTTTATCTTTCATGTAGAGGAAGGCTACTGATTTGTTTGAGTTGATTTTATAACCAGCCACTTTGCTGAAGTTGTTTATCAGGTTTAGGAGTTCTCTGGTGGAAGTTTGGGGGTCACTTAAGTATACTATCATATCATCTGCAAATAGCGATATTTTGACTTCTTCCTTTCCTATTTGTATCCCTTTGACTTCTTTTTGCTGTCTAATTGCTCTGGCTAAGACTTCCAGTACTATATTGAATAGGTAGGGGGAGAGTGGGCAACCTTGTCTAGTCCCTGATCTTAGTGGGATTGCTTCAAGTTTCTCTCCATTTAGCTTGATGTTGGCTACTGGTTTGCTGTAAATTGCTTTTACTATGTTTAGGTAGGGGCCTTGAATTCCTGATCTTTCCAAGACTTTTATCATGAAGGGATGTTGAATTTTGTCAAATGCTTTCTCAGCATCTAGTGAGATGATCATGTGGTTTTTTTCTTTAAGTTTGTTTATATAGTGGATTACATTGATGGATTTCCGAATATTGAACCATCCCTGCATTCCTGGGATAAAACCTACTTGATCATGATGGATAATTGTTTTGATGTGGTCTTGGATTCGGTTTGCTAGAATTTTATTGAGTATTTTTGCATCGATGTTCATAAGGGAGATTGGTCTGAAGTTCTCTTTCTTTGTCGGGTCCTTGTGGGGTTTGGGTATGAGTGTAATTGTAGCTTCATAGAACGAATTGGGTAGTGTTCCTTCTGTCTCTATTTTGTGGAATAGTTTGAAGAGAATTGGTATTAGGTCTTCCTTGAAGGTCTGATAGAATTCAGCACTAAAACCATCTGGTCCTGGGCTTTTTTTATTGGGGAGGCTTTTGATGACTGCTGCTATTTCCTGAGGGGTTATAGGACTATTTAGATGGTTTATCTGCTCCTGGTTTAACTTCGGTACCTGGTATCTGTCTAGGAAATTGTCCATTTCATCCAGGTTTTCCAGTTTTGTTGAGTATAGGCCTTTGTAGTAGGATCTGATGATTTTTTGAATTTCTTCAGTTTCTGTTGTTATGTCTCCCTTTTCAGTTCTGATTTTATTAATTTGGATACTGTCTCTGTGCCCTCTGGTTAATCTGGCTAAGGGTTTATCTATCTTGTTGATTTTCTCAAAGAACCAACTCCTGGTTTTATTGATATTTTGTATTGTTCTTTCTGTTTCTACTTGGTTGATTTCAGCCCTGAGTTTGATTATTTCCTGCCTTCTACTCCTCCTGGGTGTATTTGCTTCTTTTTGTTCTAGAGCTTTTAGTTGTGCAGTCAACTTGTTAGTGTGTGCTCTTTCCAGTTTCTTTTTGTAGGCACTTAGAGCTATGAGCTTTCCTCTTAGCACTGCCTTCATGGAGTCCCACAAGTTTTGGTATGATGTGTCCTCATTTTCATTGAATTCTAAAAAGTCTTTTATTTCTTTCTTTATTTCTTCCTTGACCAAGTCATCATTGAGTAGAGAGTTGTTCAGTTTCCATGTGTACGTGGGTTTTCCATTGTTTTTGTCATTATTAAAGACCAGTCTTAGTCCGTGGTGATCTGATAAGATGCAAGGGATTATTTCAATCTTTTTGTATCTGTAGAGGCTTGTTTTGTGACCAATTATATGGTCTATTTTGGAGAAGGTACCATGAGGTGCTGAGAAAAAGGTATATTCTTTTGTTTTAGGATGAAATGTTCTATAGATGTCTGTTAAGTCCATTTGGTTCATAACTTCTGTTAATTTCAAAGTGTCTCTGTTTAGTTTCTGTTTCCATGATCTGTCCATTGCTGACAGTGGGGTGTTGAAATCCCCCACTATTATTGTGTGAGGTGTAATGTGTGTTTTGAGCTTTAGTAAAGTTTCTTTTATGTATGTAGGTGCCCTTGCATTTGGAGCATAGATGTTCAGAATTGAGAGTTCACCTTGGTAGATTTTTCCTTTGATGAGTATGAAGTGTCCTTCCTTATCTTTTTTGATTAATTTTGGATGAAAGTCGATTTTATTTGATATTAGAATGGCTACTCCAGCTTGTTTCTTGGGACCATTGGCTTGAAAAATTGTTTTCCACCCTTTTATTCTGAGGTAGTGTCTGTCTTTGTCACTGAGGTGCGTTTCTTGTATGCAGCAAAATTCTGGGTCTTGTTTGTGTATCCAGTCTGATAGTCTGCGTCTTTTTATTGGGGAATTGAGACCATTGATGTTAAGAGATATTAAGGAAAAATGATTGTTGCTTGCTGTTATTTTTTTTTTTTTTTATTAGAGGTAAAGTTATGTTCGTATCTTTTTTGGGGGTTGTTGGAAGATTACTTACTTGCTTTTCCTAGGTTGTAGTTTCGCTCCTTGTGTTGGCATTTTCCATCAATTATCCTTTGAAGTGCTGGGTTTGTGGGAAGATATTGTGCAAATTTGGTTTTGTCATGGAATATCTTGGTTTCACCATCTATAGTGATTGAGAGTTTTGCTGGGTATAGTAATCTGGGCTGGCAATTGTGTTCTCTTAGTGTCTGTATGATGTCCGTCCAGGCTCTTCTGGCTTTTATAGTCTCTGGTGAGAAGTCTGGTGTAATTCTTATAGGTCTGCCTTTATATGTTACTTGACCTTTTTCCCTTACTGCTTTTAGTATTTTTTCTTTGTTTTGTGCATCTGATGTTTTGATTATTATGTGACGGGAGGTATTTCTTTTCTGGTCTAGTCTATTTGGCGTTCTGTAGGCTTCTTGTATGTTTATGGGCATCTTGTTCTTTAGGTTAGGGAAGTTTTCCTCAATAATTTTGTTGAAGATATTTACTGGCCCTTTAAGTTGGGAATCTTCATTCTCATCTATACCTATTATCCTTAGGTTTGGTCTTCTCATTGTGTCCTGGATTTCCTGGATGTTTTGAGTTAGGAGTTTTTTGCGTTTTTCATTTTCTTTGACAACTGTGTCAATATTTTCCACCGTATCTTCTGCATTTGAGATTCTCTCTTCTATCTCTTGTATTCGGTTGGTGATGCTTGCGTCTGTGACTCCTGATCTCTTTCTTAGGTTTTCTATCTCCATGGTTGTCTCCCTTTGAACTTTCTTTATTGTTTCTATTTCTAGTTTCAGGTCCTGAATGTTTTTGTTTAACTCCTTCTTTGTGTTTTCTTCCATTTCTTTAAGGGATTTCTGTGATTCCTCTTTAAGGGCTTCTATCTGTTTACTTGTACTCTCCTGTATTTCTTTAAGGGAGTTAATTCCTTCTTATAATCCTCTATCATCATCATGAGAAGTGATTTTAATTCTGAATCCTGCTTTTCAGGTGTGATGGGGTGTTTAGGGCTTGCTATATTGGGAGAATTGGGCACTGATGATGCCAAGAAACTTTGGTTTCCGTTGCTTATGTTCTTGCGCTTGCCTTTCGCCATCTGGTTAACTCTAGTGGTACCTGCTCTCACTGTGTAAAACTGGAGTCTGTATTTCCAGTTATCTTGCTTATTGCAGAGCTCCTCAGAGTCCAGAGGTCTCTGTGGTCTTATGCTCCTAATCTCCTGGGTGGAATAACTCCTGGGACTCAGGCCACCTCTTGGATCTGGAAATCCTTCTGCTCTGAGTGCAGTGGGTCCTCGATGACTCAGGATTCAGTTTCAGCTGCTCTGAGTGCAGTGGCTCCAGCTGCTCTGAGTGCAGTGGCTCCTGGATGACTCAGGATTCAGTTTCTCAACAGGACAGGAGCAGACCGACTCTGTGTCACCTGCTCTGAGTGCAGTGGCTCCTGGATGACTCAGGATTCAGTTTCTCCACAGGACAGGAGCAGACCAACTCTGTGTCAGCTGCTCTGAGTGCAGTGGCTCCTGGATGACTCAGGATTCAGTTTCTCCACAGGACGGGAGCAGACCGACTCTGTGTCTGCTCCAGCCCGGAGGAGCAGGCAGGGGCAGAAGGGAAGTGGAATTCCGGAGGGGCG